AGAGAGAGAGAGAGAGAGAGAGAGAGAGAGAGAGAGAGAGAGAGAGAGAGAGAGAGAGAGAAATGAAGTGTGGTCCCGGGCCACTCTGGTAGCCTAGTATATATATATTGTCAAACAGAGCTGCCCGGTAAACCGTAGGCAGAGAAGGAGGGAGAAGAGGACAACAAATGAGGGGCTGTGACAAACTGTTTCGTCGGAGTTTCACCTACTCATCAGGAGGCTGAACCCTATATATATCGTCACAAAAATGTCAGAGCGCAAAAGCCAAAAAAACAAGAAAAAATCCATTCATTTTTTTTCTTCGTACTTACAACTCCCCCTGTTCAAAACCTCTTGCATATACATATATGTATACTGTCACACTGTGATTCAGAGTGCAAAGGCGGAAAAAGACAAAACAAAAAAAGGAAGAAGAAAAGCCCCGCCTGTTCATCACCTCTTACGTACAACGTGGATGACAGGTTGAGCACTGGCTGGCCCCATCCCCGTGTGTCACAAGGACCCACTTGCACGCAGCCATAAGGCAAAGAGGTAACGAAAAGGAGGAGGAAACCAGACCTCACAGATATACATATATATCGTCAAATAGAACTGCCCGGTAAACCGTAGGCAGAGAGGGAGAAGAGGACAACAAACGAGGGGCTGTGACAAACTGTTTCGTCGGAGTTTCACCGACTCATTATATATAGTCAAACAGAGCTGCCCGGTAAACCGTAGGCAGAGAGGGGGAAGAGGACAACAAACGAGGGGCTGTGGCAAACTGTTTCGTCCGAGTTTCACCGACTCATCAGGAGGCTGAACCCTCAACGGTCTGCAAAATCCCCTAACTGATTACACTGTAAGTGATAATGCACCTTAACCCCGGCGGCTGTGGTTAAGCATCAACGACTGCCCGACAACTGATACCCTGAGGTGGGCACCAACCACTGCCCTCAAGGTACCTGTGGCAAAAGTCAAAGCAGATTATCACTCACCCACACCAGATGGAATATATATGTATATCGTCACAAAGTTATATACATACATTGGTCTTGTCCTGTCGTTTGGCCTGTAGTTGCCGGGGGCGGTGTTTGCATGTGGGACTTGTCATCTAGGATTGTCATTTAGGATTTGCTTTGCAGCCCCCTGTTCTGTTTTGTTTGGGCTGTTTCCTTCCTCTTTTCTTTGCCTCTTTGCCTCTTTGCCTTTTGGCTGTGTGCAAGTGGGTCGATATGACACACGGGGGTGGGGGCAGCCGCCGCTCAACCTACATCCACGTGGGCGGCCTTGTATGCAAGAGGTTCTGAACAGGGGGAGTTGTAAGGAAGAAGATGAAAAATGAATTAATATTTTTTTGTTTCCTTTGTTTGTTTTTTTCGCTTTTGCGCTCTGATATCTATGTGACGATATATATATATAGTCACACAACTATTGACTAAGAGTGCAAACAAGTGAAGTAGATATATATATATAGTCACACAACTATTGACTAAGAGTGCAAACAAGTGAAGTAGAAGAAGAAATAAGATGAGCGAAGAAAAGAAAAAATGAAAGGACAGACAGCCAAACAGACAGACAAACCAGAAAGACAGAAAACAGTGTCTTCTTCTTCTTTGTTTTAGTGTATTCTTACTTGTTTCAGTGTTTTACAATTTGTTTAACACTGAACAAAGGATAAAAAAAAAAAAAAAAAACAAAGACCACATTGAAATCATTCAATTTCTCAGTCTTCTTAACTCCTCCTCCACTGCGCCTCTCACGTACAAGGCTCGCCACGTTGATGAAGTTGAGCGCGAGCTGCCCCCATCCCCGTATGCCATAACAGCCCACTTGCTCACTGTGGGAAAGAGGCAGAGTAAAGGGAGAGGTGTTAAACAAAAGGAAGAGAGGAGCAGAAAAGAAAAACCGATAGGCGAAGGGAAGGTGACGACTTCTTCTTTCTTTTACTGTATTCTTCTTTCTTTCACAGTTTTGCAGTTTTGGTGAACGGTCTACCACATTCGCTTTTCAGCGCACCTGCACTTCCTTATTTACTTTTTATTCTCATTTTCACCCTTCTGACTTTTTCTTTTTGGGTGTTAGCGTGCAGGGTACAAACAAAGTAAAATGACACAAACTTCTTCTTTCTTTTACTGCATTCTTCTTTCACTGTCTTGCAGTTTGAGTGAAGGGTCTCCCACTTTTGTACACTCTTTTCAGCGCACCTGCACCTTTTTGTTAAGGTGCAAGGTACGTCTGAGTAAGACCCTCACGACAGACAGGACAACTACTATAAAGGATGCAGGTGATGGTAGCAGCCCTCCCGCCGATCTATAGGACGAAGATGATTCAGGCAAGCGCCCTCGTCACAGCAGGAGCCAGGAGGGCTAGCATCAACCATACCTCTGAAGCATGCACGACAGAGGACATGCCAGTTGCTGGCCATGACAATTGTGGGGCGTTAACCATCACAGTTAAGTGCACATTCGCTATAGCACCCGCAGGCACAGATGGGACATACTGCATCTGGATGTAGAGGATGTTCACAACCGGATACAGGTGGCATTCCTGCAGACAGTGGGCCCGAAAAATAATATGGTTGTATTGACATCGACAAAGTCAATGCTTTCCACAGCCAAGTGTAACTGTGTCAGCGGCCACACAAAGAAGGAGGTCACAAAGGGTTAGTGCAGCATGTGGGGGAATAAAGACTGAAGCAGGCACGGTGACAGACACGGAGGTAGGCACGGAGACAGACACAGAGACGGGCGCGAAGACAGGTGCGGAGGCAGGCACAGAGACAAGCACAGAGGTGGGCACGAAAGTACATGAGGTACCCATAGGGTCGATACCCTGGAAGGAGATAAATGTGGTCCCGGGCGACTCTGGTAGCCTATTATACAACTTTTCTTTTTTTGGGGGGAGGTAAGCGCCTGCCCTTGTGCTCCCCGCCACTGACATGCTGCATACTGCAGGGCCTGTCTCTTATACACATCTAGATGTGTATAAGAGACAGCACACACACACACACACACACACACACACACACTCACTCTCACATATACATGCACACAAGCACCCACACATTCTCCTATCTATTGATGGGGGCAACACCTGCTGGAAACTGGGTCCAGCGTCACATGAGCATCGTGAATAAAGCACCAACCGGGACCCCACACACACAAACTCTTCAAGTTGTGTATAGAGAACATGACAAAACATACACACAGCATCATCATTACCTTAACCTTCCCCAACCAAATCAACAAACAAACTACGGGCTGCGCACCCGTGCCCTCACGGTAAATCAATATGAGTATAGATATAGATATAGACAACATTGGAACAGGGAGACGCGTTTTGGAGTGCGTTGTGTTATGTATTCCTGACTTGCCGGTGGAATATGAACCGGACTGACGCTCCCCAGAATGGACAAGGAGCCAGAACCATAAGGCTCTGTTTCAAAAAAAAAAAGAAAAAAAAGGGAACATGTGCTGCTATCTCCGCTGCTATGTGTGGAGCTATGAGTGGT